CTCAAAAAATTTGAGCAATAATTAATTAATAAAAAATAGAACGTGATACTTTGGTCCCCCCCTCCCTAAAGAAACACGTGATTTCTGGCACCTCCCTAAGAGCCTAGTAAAAATTTTCTAAACTAATAACATTCATATTATTACCCTGAACCTATCTTCTGATATTTATTTCTGAATTTTAACTAACATTGTATCAATTTCAGCTAACATTGAATCTATTTCTATTGTCTGAAATGGTAAAGAAGCTTGTGTTTAGGGTTTTGAACTGTTACTTGTCTCTGGTTCAGAGTCAAACTCTTCTGATTCTGTATCACCTATAGTATAATTATTACCTGTATCAAGGCAGTCTGATTCTTGTCTCATTACAATTCTCAAAATCAATTTAAGATATTGGGGAATTGATTTCTTATCACTATGAATTCTGGAGGTATGTTTACTTCCATAATCTTTTAATTTTTTTGGTATGGTTCTATAAGACTCTTGCTTTAAGAATTTGTTAAATAGCCAAGAATTATATATTTCATTTTCAGTAAAGACAGGATTATACAACTTTCTTACCTTGATTGTATTTTGAATCCAAATAAGTAATTTCCTAGTATGTTCTGAATTCTTCTTCATGGAAAAAAATGGTCAGGGCTTAGGATTCTTTTTCTTTTCTCCTTTATTTTTTAAATAATCTATACAATATCATAAATAACTATCTTTGTACCATGCTGGAATGTTTGAAGAATCCAGTTTATAGTAATTAATTTAAAGTAACCTTACTTTTGCAGATCTCATACTCAATATCACAATTATATTTACAAGATTCTCTTTAGTAGGAATTTTGGAAACGTTTATGTTCTAAATCCTTTTACTTATATTTGCTAAAGAAAAATATATAAGAATTCTATCTGGATTAGCCATTTGTTCCTTAGTTCACTTTTTCTGAATTTTATTAGACTCTTGAATAAGTTTTAAATCTTTGATCCAAGTATTAATAATTTTAAGATTTACTTTAGCTTCTGCTAACTTCATATGGAATTGTGACTGGCATGAGCCACTAGCAATTATTTCATTTTCATCTTTATTTTTCAGATCTAAGTCTAAATAATGGGCAAAAATATCTATAACATTACCGGCCATAGCATAGTATTTTGTCCTTTTCTCTATAGTAACTTTTTTCTTTTTTTTGTTTAACAAGAGAGCCCCTATCTGCTCTTTATTAAATGGATGTCTTGACTGATTAGTTCTTGTAAGGGTTTCTTTAACATACTTGCAGGCCTTTTAATTAAGAATCAAAGCATTAAGCTTGATAATATGTTTATACAATTGTTTTGAAATAGAGCTAGCTGATAAATTACAATTTTCTAAAACTAATCCAAAGTGCTGACATAGTTATTAGTTTTGGATTTTCGAACCTTCTGGGTGATAGTCATATCAATAATATATAATAAATAGTTGTAGTTGTTATCTATTTATATATAGTATATATAAAAAAAGTTCAATTCAAAAAAAATATTTTACCTGAAACATCATATTTTTGAATATCTATAATAAAAGTAAAAATGAAGTTTTGAGATTATTAATATTAAAATTATCTTGTATAAATCATTTATCTTGTCAATACATCAAGAAAGATGGTTCGATTTGTAGGAAAGGATGCTGACATGTTTTAGGATATGTCAGATATTATAAAGCCCATCCCAAAACAATATGTCTTATCTGTAATAAGCAAACCTATTCTGATACTGGAATCTGTAATACATATAGCAGAGTTTATAACTGTGCTTGGTGTGAAAGCAAAAAAACTAAAACAGAATCAATCCCTTTGAAATCATTTGATATGATCAAAATACTTAACTGAATAATAAATGATCTGGGCTGAAGTATTATTTGTTCTGCTCTATAGAATCAAAGAGTTCCTGAATATCGTTATCTATTTTTGACTTATATGGTGGAAGCTTTGATATATTTTTATCTTCAAAACCAAGACCATTATATGGCTTGCAATTAATTTGATAAGAATATTATTAAACTTGTTGTCCTTTAGGTCCTATTCTTTTTTTATCACTTTTAATAATATAGCAACACCAATTATCAATGATTGTATTAATTGTCTTTATAGTCAAATTAAGATCTAATATTATCTTAACATAAGACTTAAAACCAAGAGTAATAAGGATTGATTATAAATTTCTATAAACTTTTCATGAAATTGTATGTTGATCACAGATTTTTCCAGTTTTATAAATATATGAGCAATAATATAATATTATCGTGATTATATTGTGATCAAAATCTGTTTGATCCATATCCGAGTAGTAGTTTTTAGAAGAAATTAGAGATTATTTAGAACAGTTCGTTGTTCCAGAAATAATCTCTCACAAATATTTCAAGGTACAGCAAAGATTTCCCAATAAATCTTTGTAACCAAAATGTGTTTAATAAAATAACAGTGTTTTATTAAGACATGAAATCAAAAAGTCGGACGATTACAAGAGTAAGTTATCAAGAATTGAGTGAAAATTACATGGACAGTAGCTACTTATATAGTGTTTTCTATCCTAGACTATCTGGGCTGCCTGAGCTGTCTGGGCTGTCTGGGCTGTCTAAGCTGCCTGATCTACGTGTCGCAATGTCATAATTTTATAGATCATAGACCTTATAGGTCTTTTGGACCTTCCGGGCTGCTTGGACCTTCTAGGCTGTCTGATCTACATCACACATGCTATAAATAGATATTTATACTATACTAAAATAATAAATCCTACTACTAAAAATAAATTAATAATAATTCTATAAAAATATAAGTAAAAATAAAACTAAATTATCTATTTTATTACAATATATAATAATTATTTCAATCTTGCCTTCTTGCATATATACTTAAAGCCAGAGAAAAAATAATTTATAACAATATATTAAGGTATTTCATCTAATTTTATATATCCATTCTTATGATTATATTTTTTAAGTAATTTGGCTTGCTTTTTTTTATAATAATTTTCTCTTTTTTAATATTTGTCCACATAATTATTACATATGTTATATATTGAATAAGTTAATTTACTACATTTTTTACAAGAAATTTATATCAAAGAATTTTAATGAAGTTTACATCCTTTTAGTTAATAACAACCTCAATTATAGATTTTGTCAATTCTAAGAATATAAGAACAATGATAGAGTCCTATATTTATTGCAATAACAACTAGTATACTGTATATAGAATAATTAATTATTAATTTCATTTTAAAGTTTTTTGAGTTAAGTATAATACTTTTAGTTTATAACTATATACTACATATACAAACAAAGCATATATACAAATTAATAAAATGGGTTTATTTAGTGAAACAAAAAAATATCTTTATAAATTATTATAGCAACAGTATTTAAATCAAAAGTCAGCTGAATATAATAAAGCAAAAAGACTTTTTATGGATTTAATGGATCTTGACTATAAACCTGACCATACAGAACATATATTTTATAAATACTGGCTTGTATCTAAATCTGAAGGGACAACCCTAAAGAGTCATGCCCATATTAGCTTTTCTGATAAAAACAATACTATGCTTTTAAATACATATCAACCTGAAGAGATTTATTCTCAATATATAGTTCAGATGACAAAAAAAAATTATACAGTGATCGATCATCTTAGCAAAGTTTATAGAATACCTGATACTCACGAATATATTGATAATAACCAGTCTCTTTATTTGATTATTGATATTGATACAAGACAAAATCCTGATTCTACAAATCCTGAAGTATTTTTTTTAGACAATAAAAAAATTATATAAGAAGATTTGTTATCTTGAATTTTAGTTGTTTGTACAGATATATTATATTTCATATTGGATTGCATAATATCATTAAATAATTTTGTTTTGGCAAGTTTATCAAATGCTGAGAAATGTAGCTAGTATATTATTTACTTCCATACTTGATTTATTAATTATTAAAACTTTAAAGGTTTTATAAAAAAAATTATTGAATCAGTTGGAAAATCTTATTTCAAATTTATTGATATTGAACTTTACAAATCTTATTTTAATCTTTGGCTCCTTGGATCTGCAAAAGAAAAATGTATCAAAAGATCTACTATTTCTTTTGTTAAAAATGAATTTAAAAATCTAAATAATTATCTGATTTAGCCTAAAGAAAATTATTCTGAAATTTTGCCATGAACCTTTTTTTTTGAGAAGCCAATAAAAAAAAGATCCCAACCTATTGACAATAAAAATACCTTGGTTAAAAGGACTAATATGGTTATTGAAAAATATGGATGGCTTCAGATTGAAAGAATTAAGAAGAAATTTATCAATTTTTAAGCACAATATATTAAAAAATGTCCTATATATAATATTAAACATAAAAAAAATCAACTTTATAGATTTATTCAAAAAAATGAAGATTTTATACTTAAATGTTATCGTCAAAAACAATACAAGTTAAATTATAAGGGCCTTAGCTTTAGTAAGGTATTAGATAAAGTAGAATTGAAAGTAAAATCTAAGTGGAGATTAATTAAAAGACTATCCAAGGCTGTGAAACATCCACACCTACTAGTAGAATTATCTAAAAAAAATATCAATACCAATGAAATGGAAGATGCTTCAAAAGTCTATCCAAATTTCTTAAGCAAGAAATCCACTACAACTCTTATTCACTCATCTATAATTATAGGAAAAACAAAAGGTCTAAGAAATATTCTCAATTCCTTAGCTAAAAAGAGAGTTACTCTGCCATGTTTTATTTGAGATTCATATTACAAGACACTTAGTAATAAAACTAAAGCCAAAGTTAATATATTACAAAATATAGGATTGCATATATATAATTATCAAGAAGTTGATGGAGATTTAGCTATCTATGACTAGAATGTTATTATTATTCAGATTGAAAGTATATATCATCTTTTTTTTTTTGGAGGTTATTCTTACATAGTTATCTTAGATAAAGTAAATACTATTATGTGTCAAATGAATAACAGAATTTATGCTCGAAAATCTAAAAATGTTATGTAAGATTTGTTAAAGTCAGCAGTTTATATTGTAGCTATGGATACCTTTGCAAACGAAAGTATATTAACCTTTTTAAGACAATATCAAGATAAAAATATATGAGTTTTTGATAATAAATATCAGCCATATAAAGATAAGTCTGTGAAAATTCTTTATAACCTAGACAAAGAGACAAAATCTATATATAAAGGTCTTAAGATACTTGAAGAGAGTAAACAGATTGCCTTTTCAGTTACTATATGTAAAAAAGCTAGAACTATAGCTGTTCATGCTTCTAAGTTATTAAAACCAGATAGATTATATATTTTATTACAAGTTTATTTTGATCAAATAGATGAAAAACAATATCAAGAGAATTTTATCAATATTAATGCTACTTGGAGTACTCTTGATTGTGTGGTTTATATAAGTACTATAAAAACTGGTATTTCTTTTGAAATTTCTAATCATTTTGATGCAGTTATAGGAATAAGCAATATTAATATAGGAGTACATATTGAAGTTTTCGCACAAATGTTTTATCGAATCCATAATTGTCTATATTATATTATTTTTCATTATAATAGTAAAAAAAATAATATTTTTAAAGAATCAAATTGTAAT